GCGCGATAAGAACCAGACTGTCATATGAATCCTCAAGATAAGGTTGAATGGAATAAACACACAGGATGTACCTGAAACAAATCACCCACTAGTAGACTAAAAATATATTTCCTAATCTAAACATTTCTTCTCTAAACCCTCACACAATTGTCATGTTCCCACGCTCAAATTTCGGGCTCGCAAACTCGAAGACAGAATTTTTAGATTTCAATAAAATCGTAAGAATCGTGCCTATAATCAGTAGCGAATGCACTTGAATCCAAGAGAAATGCAAAAACACTCAGAATTAGTAACTCCAAAGCTCTCTCTAAACCCTAAAATCCGAAGTCCATATTTTAAAAGCTCGAGACCGAGGCTTGAACGTCAATTACTTTAGTTCAGTTTGAGACCTAAATTAAGAAAAATAAAAATTATATTTTTTTAACTTATGAATATTGCAAGCTTATAATTATGTATATTCTTGATCGAAATGCTTAAATGTCCACGCCCACTGTGACCACACTTTTGGAAAATGTTTTATGAATGAATGGACGTTTTATAAACTTCATTTTCATATCAGCCATTGATAGTGCCTCTGTCACAGGCATTACCCAATTGGACGTTTCGGACGATAAGACTAATCTGGAAATCTCATTAAATGTCATTTAGAAAATGCCGAAATACTAGACGTCCTAAAAGCTGATTACTAGCAAGATTCTTTCTCTATATCCTCAGATGACTGATCATGTCTGGACACCCTTTAACGCAATGATGCAGTATCCATGGCTTATAACACCGTTTACTCGCTCTTAGAAAAAATGATCCAGTAACTAATCTTCAATCCTCGAATACCTCATCATAATCATATCGTTATTTGAAAATTATTGAGTTCAAATTGTTCAAGCGCTACAGTAAAACAGGATTGCAATCTGATTTCTGTTACACAGTCAGAACGCCGCTTCTTAATTGTACGAATATAAGTGCTAATACAATTGAAAACGTTTAAATTTATCATAGTTGTAAAACCCCGCTCGTACTTGACGTCCTCCAAAAAAGCGCCCGTTCAGGTCCACTACAGCTGCAAAGTAAAATATAAGCTAATTATTTACCATACAAAGCATATATGTATAACAACCTTTAATGGCACTTTCGATACGTCTAAACTCCACGAATATTTTAACCGCATCTTCTGGCACAGTTCCGAACGATTCGTGAATAATGACGCTGTTTACTTCGCCGTACTTTGTGTTGCATTCGTCTTTTACCTCGGGTTCCAATTCTTCGTCAACGTCCCCAGGTCCTACCATATTACGTAGAAGAACAACCTTGCTTGGTGATTTCATAATCTCCGTGATGCTGGATCCGGTCTCGCCACTCTCAGCCGCCTTGCCTGCCACCTGGGGAAGAAGCATGGCCTTATGACTGGGACTTGGTCCTATTTGAAAGCCCATCGAAGGTGGCGACAATGCCAGAGGTGGCAAAAAAGAGTCTTTTTCGTGTATGATCCGTCCACCACGTTTCGAGGTTTTCTCTACTTGAAGGGCTATGGCCATACCTTGCTCCGATTTTCCGAGGCCTTGACCATCCTTAAAGCCATATTTAGCCATAATTTTGGCGGCTACCGAACTGGCAGAATACGGCATTGTATTAGAGACTTCGCAGCCACTATCAATTGATATTTCTTGGAGGGACGGAGGGGGAGCGATTGTGGCTCCTCCCTGCTTAGCTACAGATCCCGCGGATGGCAAGTATATGTCATCATCATTTTGGCGCTGTCCAAACCCGCTGAATTTCAAATTAGGAGCTAAGACATCGTCTCTGTGAACTTCTCGACGACCGACACGTCCACGTTTCCTATCTTTTTCCTTGTCATTATCTCTATCTTCTCGATCACATCCATCTGCGCCGACACCAACAAAAGACCGAGTTTTGTCACTGCCATTAGTTTTCTCCTTGAGTCTATAGAAGACTCCAACGCTCCAGTAAATTATTACAATTAATTGGTTTTTATTTTGTAGATCACAAGCGACCGTTTATTGTAATTGTTCGTTTGAAACTGAAACTAGGATACAAAATATTTCCCTAAGTCCCTAGCAATCAAGTGTGGGCGTCGCAGCAGGCGTCGGCAGCGAAGCAGTGGTCGTCAGCGGCCACGCGGCGGAGAAGTGCAGATGATCGAACTTTTAGCTGGTTGTTGACACCGGAAGGAATGCAGACCTTTGGTCAGCATTTTGGGCACTTGTGTTTACCCAGAAATGTTGTTGAAATTTAAGATGTGGGACAATAACTTATAGGGCAATAACTTATACAGATAGTATGAACGAAAAGGGAAAATAGGGAAAATAAATATTCTACCAAATTAAAAATTTGTATACATACCCTGGATACTTTTTCACAGTATCCTATATCCATAGTGACATATCCATAAGTCCCTTAGACTTAAGAACATGCCTACTTATTTACACACAACCAACAAGCATACCCCATACTACCCTTTATGTACTCAGCCCATAGATAAGAATAAAACTTTCACCAAATCCCAGAACCAAGGCCAAGTAGAAAAAACCCCAAGTCATACGAATACAGGATCTTATTTAGACAAATCACCCAATGGTAGACTAAACATTCTTTGCCAAAACCCCAAATAATTGTCACGTTCCCACGTTCAAAGTTCGGACTCGCAAACTCGAAAACAAAAGTTTTAAATTTCAAATAAACAAAATCTTAAGAATCCAAGAGCGAATGCACTTGAATCCAAGAGAAAAGCAGATAACTCCAAAGTTCTCTAAAATTCTAAAATCCAAAGTCCATATTTGAAAAGCTCGAACCCGAGGCTTGAACGTCAATCAATCTAGATTAATAAGTTGAGTTCAGTTTGAGACCTAATGCACATCGGTCGGTGTTCTTCACTAAACAATCGTAATACTTAGGTCAAATAAAATTATATTTTTTTGACATACGAATATTATGAACGTGTAATTATATATATATTCCTACATTTTTATATACATATACATACCCTGGATACCCTTCTTCATAATAACCATATATTTATTCTCTCGAAAACATAAACCGTATTCTTATATCACATAACCCACTCTGGTTTATATGTAAATATATAATCGAATGCGCAAATCACGGGTAAATCCCTAAAATCTCCAGAATCCTAAAATTCCTTAAGAGAAAAAAAAAAAAACAAAAGGAAAAACCTACGAACAAATTTCATACGAACAAACAGCACTTATACTTTCGCGAACTCGGGAAATTATATAATCCTCACTGGCAAATAAAAATCTTTCCGGTTAGCAATCTTACAAATGTCAAAAAAAAATAATCGTTGACAAGACAAGGTCCAGGCTAGGTCTTAGGAGCAGTAGTAGCTTACCAGAGATAAGGGAAGAAGAAATAGTAAGAATGGATAGGACTACTAGCCCTTCGCCCAATGCAAACAACATGGCCAACGCTAGTACCCTACCGAACACGTCCAGAGTTCGGGCTAGTTCGTTTGGAATAATAATATATATCTATAAACACAACACTACTGAAAGATCTCCGGCGGATATAATTTAGTATGCAGGAAGTCCAGACTTTAATGTCCAAAAGAATAAAATTTACAAAGTCAACAAACACGAAATATAGACAGACCCCACTTGTAAAAATCAAGGTAACAAATCCATTCAAGAAAACAGGACGAATTGAACAATTGGATGAAAAACATTTTGAAGAGACAAATCGCGGTATAAAAATCGTACACTTCAAATTTAAAAAGCATAAGAAAATTATTAAAAGTAAATACAATAATTCCAGACCAGACCAAGAGAGTTAAGCGATGTCACATACTTCCCAAATTACTTATCTCATACAGATAAGTAATATGGGAAGTATGACCATATGTCACCAATGTCCAATGAAGTAAATATTGAAGTAAACCTACTCAGTGCTAAGAATACCTTATACTCTAAAGAGGAACAATGGAAATACCGATAAGCTACGAATGTCATTATTTAAGTATAAATATAACAAGAACAATGATTATGTTCGATAACCTGTAGAAGTAGCAAACAATTTTCCCGATGTATCCCAAATTCAATATTTAGTTGAGAAATTAAAGCGGGAAATTAATGGATTGAGAATTAATAAACTAGTAAACTAGGTTAAAATTAAAAAAATTAAATTTTTAAAGTTAAAGTTAAATTTTAAAATTAAAAATTTAAAAGTTAAATGTAGTAGGAAAGTCATAAATATTTATTTGGCACCTTATAACTATACTATCAAGACGATAGGATTGATTTGGAAGAAAACATTAATAAATCTTCAAAAAGTTCCGTGGAAAACAACGACGTAAACATGGTTATAACGTAATCAGTAAATACGTAATCAGTTAATAACAAGCTCAGGAGAAAGAATAGAACAGATCGCGATTTTGATATTCAATTTACAACAATTCACATTATGTATAGAGGATATCAAATTGGGTATGCAGTTAACTAAGCTAGATATCTTTAACCAGAAACTGTTAAAACAAGATTACTTGAAACAAGTAAACTCGGAGAAAATGTTATGGATAAAAACATCAACTTGGCTCAAAACAGAAACGAACGAAATTTTAATTATTTCCATTTTCCAAGCGAAATCACAAAAGTTCCGATTAAGTTCAAGTAATTCCTTACCCAGATGAACATGGATTCTAACTGAGGAAATATTTGATAAGTCAATAATCATTTGATTTTCAATAATCAAGTATACCATAAGGATACATAAAATGGAATATTTGACAAGTTTAGAGTTGGATTAATCAAGCAGGAGCAAACTCAGTGTAAATACACTATAATTCAAAAAATGTTCAAATCAATTACATAGAACCGAATATACTTATTAGCTGGAATCTACCAGAAACAGTTATAAATCAAAATTGCACTAATAACAAAATTGTAATATCAGGAAATAACATAGTAGGGATTAAAAATTGTGCAATCCGAATTGATGAATTCATAACTTCAAAAAATCTAGCGGATTTTACACAAACGATTTATATTACTAATAATGTTACAAGTTAACAAACAAATAAGATAAACTCTCATGTAAAGCACTACAGCACTATTGCATTCCAAATTATTTGCGTTGATATATTCGTTATTATGATTATCAGCTTAACCAAAGACACTAGAATAATAAGATGCGTAACGCCATACGATTTTTTTTGTACACGATTTTTTTGTGCTGGATCCAGAGCTGGCTCCAGACTCTCGAATTTTTGTTCAAGAGCCAGATAGAGAGCGCTCTAGAGCCAGCAGCTCTCTTGTACGCATACAGCGACAGTCGATCACTGTATGTGTGCACACGTATGCTCATGTATCGTAAATTTGACAAAATATGCCCTTCACTTCAGAAGTTTATGGACTTTCAACCTATATTATTTGTAATCGATTGCTACCATGTAAAAACTCAAATTTAACATAATTATTTAAATAGATCATAAGAAGAGTAATAGGTGAATAAATGTATATAATAATACCTAATTAATTTAATTATTTTATTACTTTATACAAGAAAATGTGTCGCTAGAGTATTCAGCTTGCGACGTGGAAAATATATTTGTAGTTAGTGATTAATAGGTGCGCTGGTCCTGGCTCAAGAATTCAATTTTGCAATAAACAGGTTGCTTATGAAGTTTTTTAACTCTTTAGTATAGTTATTAGTACAAATTAATAGTATACAAGTAAAAAAATATGCATACTTGTGCAATTTTCAGTATTTAAAATGAAATTATGTAATTTAGGGTGGGTGGCGCGCCAAATTTATTGTTTCTTCTTTTAATTCCTCCTAATCCGTTCGCCTAAAGCTGACAAATACATAGAGCTCATCGTTTGCTAAGTTTTTTTTTCAAATTTTAATAATACGTAAATCCGCATTTGCATATATTCAATAAAAGTTGATATGTAAAGTTCTAACGAAAACTAACGAGTGTAACAAAATAATAGTCACGGCATAAATTTTTAAATAATACTTTATTAGATCATATTACAACGAAATTGACCAAAACAATAATCAAATTCGTTTCGTTGATTTCGGACCGAAAATCGTCTTCTAGCACAACTACGCACACATGCACACTTTTTTGCTTACTGTTTTTATTAACACAAGCAAGTGATTTCTTTTTTTAGATTTTTATGGTATCGATTTGATGCGAGCGGGGAGAGAGCAATTATTGCCGCCACCAAAAAAAAAGGTTTATGGCCGTTACGCATCTTATTATTCTAGTGTCTTTGGCTTAACCCTGTATCTAGCATATAAGTTCAAGAATATTCCTAAGAATATTATTGTAAAATATTCTAAACAAAATGAAGAACATTCGAACCTAAATAGCAATGTAAAGGATCACATTCAACCCGAAAACAATATGATGATATAACCAAATTTAACGACCTGAGGACAAGCCAAAGTCAATGGTTGGGGAGTGACATATCCACAAGTCCCTTAGACTTAAGCATATGCCTACTTAGCATAAACACAATTGTAACCAACACACCCTACACTACCTTTATGTACCCAATCAATGCGCGATAAGAACCAGACTGTCATATGAATCCTCAAGATAAGGTTGAATGGAATAAGCACACAGGATGTACCTGAAACAAATCACCCACTAGTAGACTAAAAATATATTGCCTAATCTAAACATTTCTTCTCTAAACCCTCACACAATTGTCATGTTCCCACGCTCAAATTTCGGGCTCGCAAACTCGAAGACAGAAGTTTTAGATTTCAATAAAATCGTAAGAATCGTGCCTATAATCAGTAGCGAATGCACTTGAATCCAAGAGAAATGCAAAAACAATCAGAATTAGTAACTCCAAAGCTCTCTCTAAACCCTAAAATCCGAAGTCCATATTTTAAAAGCTCGAGACCGAGGCTTGAACGTCAATTACTTTAGTTCAGTTTGAGACCTAAATTAAGAAAAATAAAAATTATATTTTTTTAACTTATGAATATTGCAAGCTTATAATTATGTATATTCTTGATCGAAATGCTTAAATGTCCACGCCCACTGTGACCACACTTTTGGAAAATGTTTTATGAATGAATGGACGTTTTATAAACTTCATTTTCATATCAGCCATTGATAGTGCCTCTGTCACAGGCATTACCCAATTGGACGTTTCGGACGATAAGACTAATCTGGAAATCTCATTAAATGTCATTTAGAAAATGCCGAAATACTAGACGTCCTAAAAGCTGATTACTAGCAAGATTCTTTCTCTATATCCTCAGATGACTGATCATGTCTGGACACCCTTTAACGCAATGATGCAGTATCCATGGCTTATAACACCGTTTACTCGCTCTTAGAAAAAATGATCCAGTAACTAATCTTCAATCCTCGAATACCTCATCATAATCATATCGTTATTTGAAAATTATTGAGTTCAAATTGTTCAAGCGCTACAGTAAAACAGGATTGCAATCTGATTTCTGTTACACAGTCAGAACGCCGCTTCTTAATTGTACGAATATAAGTGCTAATACAATTGAAAACGTTTAAATTTATCATAGTTGTAAAACCCCGCTCGTACTTGACGTCCTCCAAAAAAGCGCCCGTTCAGGTCCACTACAGCTGCAAAGTAAAATATAAGCTAATTATTTACCATACAAAGCATATATGTATAACAACCTTTAATGGCACTTTCGATGCGTCTAAACTCCACGAATATTTTAACCGCATCTTCTGGCACAGTTCCGAACGATTCGTGAATAATGACGCTTTTTACTTCGTCGTACTTTGTCTTGCATTCGTCTTTTACCTCGGGTTCCAATTCTTCGTCAACGTCCCCAGGTCCTACCATATTACGTAGAAGAACAACCTTGCTTGGTGATTTCATAATCTCCGTGATGCTGGATCCGGTCTCGCCACTCTCAGCCGCCTTGCCTGCCACCTGGGGAAGAAGCATGGCCTTATGACTGGGACTTGGTCCTATTTGAAAGCCCATCGAAGGTGGCGACAATGCCAGAGGTGGCAAAAAAGAGTCTTTTTCGTGTA